ATTGCCTTCTTTCCCTTCGGAAGACTAGCTAGTTTCCACATCTGATTCTTTTGAAGGGATTGCATTTCTTCATTCATGGCGATCCTCTACTTTTTATGTTCTGAACTTTGGACTGCTTCATTAAAAGTGGCAGGAACGTCATCAATTGCAATTGGTGATGCAAAAGAGACCATATCAGCATAACGTGCAGGTTGTCTAATGGTCCTCTTTCCCTTTCTGAGTGCAATTGATTCATGTTGCTGTGGAGGTTCTTGGGTCTGAACATTTTCTTCATCTGACTCTTCTTCTACAATAGGAGAGTCAACATCAGTTTCTTTACTGGCTGGGTCAATTCTGCTTCCTTCAAACTCCACCTGTTTGGGAGTTCCATCTGTCTGCTCCAATTTTTCTGAAGTCACCTTTCTCAACATGGTAGATTCATCAAAGGTAACATCCCTGCTGAAGATTATTTTCTTTGTTTCTGGACACCAAAGACGATAGCCTTTCACACCAGAGGTGATCCCCATAAAGATCACCTTCTTTGCTCTTGGATCCAGCTTTGACTCCTTAACATGGTAGTATGCAGTAGAACCAAACACATGTAAGGAATCATAATCTTTAGCAGATACTCCAAACCATTTCTCTAATGGTGTTTTACCACCAATAGCAGTTGATGGTAAACGGTTGACAAGGTGACAAGCATAGACCAAAGCCTCAGCCCAAAATTCTTTGCCTAACCCAGCATTAGACAACATACACCGAACCTTCTCCACTAATGTTCGGTTCATACACTCTGCCACCCCATTCTGTTGTGGTGTACTTCTGACAATGAAGTGCCTGACAATACCTTCTTCTTCACAGACTTTCAGAAATGGATCATTTTTGTACTCTCCACCATTATTTGTACGGAGACGTTTGATTTTTCTGCCTATTTGAGTCTCCACCATCTTTTTCTATTTAAGGAAAAATCCTAGCACCTCATCCTTTGTCTTCATTGTATACACCCAAACTCTCCGGGAAAAATCATCAACAAAGGTGACATAATAGTGTGTTCATCCCAATGAAGTTGTCTTGGAAGGCCCCCATACATCTGAATGAACATAATCCAAAATACCTTTAGTATCATGGATTGCTGTTCCAAATTTCACCCTCGTCTTCTTCCCTTTGATGCAATTCTCACAAAAAGCTAATTTGCAAGCTCGAGCACCCTTCAATAATCCTTGATCTATCAGCAATTTCAAGGATTTTTCACCAACATGCCCCAAGCGTATATGCCATAACCTGGTTGCTTCTGACTCCTGTTCATCAGTAGAAGCTGCCACTGTTGATGTCTCAACAATTGTACTACCCAAAAAGTAATACACATTGTTTCTTTTCTGAATTCCCTTCATTATCACCAGTGCACCAGAGATAATCCTCATAATCCCATCTTTTGCCCTCACTTCTAAACCTTTCGACTCTAAGGTTCCCTCAGAGATGAGATTTCTCATTAAATTTGGTACATAATGGACACCTGTTAAGGTTCTGATTGATCCATTCTGATTCCTCAAGAGAATTGAACCAATCCCAAGTGTGTCAAGAGGGGAATTATTTGTTGTGTAGACAATTCCACCTTTTAGTTCTTTAAAATCAAAGAACCATTCTCTATTGGGGGTCATATGGTGGCTACAAGCTGAATCTAACAGCCATGAACTGGAACAGCTGGTTGATGGCGTAGCAGCGAATGCGAAATCTAAATCTGCATCATACTCGACCACATTTGATTCTGAGACAGCCTTTCCCCTTTCAGGTTTGCCTTTGTTCTTTAGCCTGGGACATTCTTTCTTCCAGTGCCCTTTTTCTCAACAAAAGGCACATTCATCTTTGCTCAATCTGGACTTTGACTTCGATCTCCCTCTTATTCCTTTATTCTGACTCTTCAAACGACCTCTAACAACAAGAGCTTCTGCTTCGACACTTATGTTTTCTTGTTTGTCTTTCTTTCTCAATTCATAATTATACAAGGCAACAGTTATTTCACTGAGAGACACATCAACTTTCCCATGAAGTAGAGTAGTTTCAAGATACTCAAACTCATCAGGAAGTGATCCCATCAACATCAGAGTCAGATCTTCGTCTTAAAAAGTCACGTCCATATTTATCAGATCAGTCACTAGCTGATTAAAGCTAGTAATGTGATCATTCATAGTGGTACATGGTACATAGTTGAAGCAGAACAATCTCTTTTTCATGTAGAGCTTGTTCTGATCGCTTTTCTTCAAAAATTTCTCCTCTAGTGCCTTCCACAATTTACTTGCAGAAGTTTCCTTAGAAAATGCATACTCTTGCTCTCTAGAAAGACACGATCGAATAGTATCACATGCCAATCTATTGATCCTCTTCCATTCTTTCTCCTCAACATCATTTGGTTTCTCTCCTTTAATAGCAATGTCTAGACCCTGCTGAAATAGGGCATCTAGAACCTCACTTTGCCACATGCTGAAATGATCGGTGCCATAAAAAATCTCCACTGCAAATCTAACAATTGTCACAGCTGTTGACGACAATGTGGATGTTTTTGTTGCGTCTGTCATTTCTGCTACAAATTCTATTTAATAGCTGTCAATGCGGAATGCCAATTATCCCAAGGAAATTTTTTTTGATGTGGAAGATCAGCCTAAGCCGCAACCTCAGAGCATACTAAAATAAACCAAGAGCGCTGATACCAATTGTTGTGGAATTCGGGTTAATTTCCACCAATAATAACAAATTCACCTTTCAAACTATTATCTAGGTGACTAGTGTGAAAACGATTGTACTAAAAATCACACCAAAGTAGATTCCCAAGAAAGAGGAGGGGTCACAATGGTCTCTCTTAAAACCCACTTTCCTTAGACAGAACTACCAAGACAAGTAATTTTAATAGGACAATAATTAACAATAACTATACCCGACAATAGCTATTAAATAGACATAAAGAGCACCAAAATTTAACGAGGTTAGGTCAAAATTATGTCTACCTCCTCGAACACTACTAAAATAATATTTCACCAATAGATGAAATATTACAAAGAAAAAGAAAGAATACAAATAGCTTTTAATATAAAAGATGACTTATATTTGTGGGATGCTAAACTAAGGAGGAGGAGGGTTATATTTATAACAAAATAATTTCCCCTCCTCCTTATACAAAACCAATGTGAGATATTTGCAAAAAACCAACATCTTCTACTCCATGGGTTCTCTGAGAAAGCTTGTAATAAAAACCAGGAGGTTAAGTTTGATCCCAAGAAATCCTATTGTAGAAGAGATTAATAATAATGGTTGTGTTAAGGTTATGTCAAGTAGAAGTGCTCTTTTGGAGTTTGTTCCTGAAACTAATAAGGAAAATTTAGATGTTGAGCTTCCTATATTTGATCCATCAAAAGGTACTGTGGTGGATTTAGCCGTTGTGGGAAGTGGCCTTGCTGTTTCTCAGCTGGTTTCGCAGGCGGGTTTTCGGTGTGCTCCATCGATCTCCGACATTGATTTGGCCTAATAATTATGGTGTTTGGGTGGATGAATTCGAAGCTATGGATTTGCTTGATTGCCTCTATACGACTTGGTCCGGTGCCGTTGTGTATATCAATGAGCAGAAAAAGAAACATCTCGATAGACCTTACGGAAGGGTTAACAGGAAGCAGCTCAAGTCCAAAATGTTGCTTAAGTGCATATCCAATGGTGTGAAATTTCACCAGGCAGAGGTTATTAAGTTTATTCATGAGGAATCGAAATCCATGTTGATTTGCAATGATGGTGCCACGGTTCAGGCTACAGTTCTTCTTGATGCCACTGGATTTTCTAGGTGCCTTGTTCAGTATGAAAAGCCTTATAATCCAGGCTATCAAGTGGCCTATGGAATTTTGGCCGAGGTGGAAGAACACCCTTTTGATGTAGAAAAGATGGTTTTTATGGATTGGAGAGACTCACATTTTGCCAACAGTAAGGAGTTGAGGGAGAGAAATAGTAGACTTCCCACATTTCTATATGCAATGCCCTTCTCGTCGAACAGAATATTTCTCGAGGAAACTTCTCTAGTCGCTCGACCGTGAGTGCCTATAGATGATATCAAGGAGAGAATGGAGACCAGGTTAAGGCACCTAGGAATAAAAGTTACGAGCATCGAAGAGGATGAGCACTGTGTTATTCCGATGGGCGGGCCCCTACCAGTGCTACCCCAAAGAGTTGTGGGAATCGGTGGCACAGCTGGGATGGTGTACCCTTTGACGGGGTACATGGTTGCAAGAACTCTTGCAGCTGCTCCAATTGTTGCAGACGCCATAGTTCGGTGCCTTGATCCTGGAAGGAACTTGGTGGGAAACAAATTGTCAGCAGAAGTATGGAGGGATCTATGGTCCATAGAAAGAAGGAGACAAAGGGAGTTCTTCTGTTTCGGCATGGATATTTTTCTTTAGCTCGATTTACCAGCAACAAGAAGTTTTTTCGATGCATTTTTTGATCTGGAACCCCATTATTGGCATGGATTCTTGTCATCTAGGTTGTTTCTTCCCGAGCTCATATCGTTTGGGCTTTCTCTGTTCTATCATGCCTCAAATACTTCCAGGTTAGAGATTATGACTAAGGGAACTCTTCCATTGGTCAACATGATCAATAATTTAGTGCAGGATACAGATTAAGATGATCAGGATATCCATTTATTGCATGCTTAAGTTTGTTGGTTGGGTTGCATTTTACTAGTTTTTTCCCTATATATTAAACTACGAATTTGTTCTATATGATTACGATAGTTACATTATGACGAAGAACGAACATTGTAATTTCTTACAGAACATAATATCATTAGTTCTTCATTTATGTACACACAGACATGTTGTTCGATGAAGCCATTCATGGTCTCTTGCTTGTTCTGAAAACATGAAAAGCCAATTTTTATTTTTGTTTTTAGAACTCGTTTTACAAATTAAATGAAAAAAATGAAAATGAGTTACAACATGAAATGAAACAACTCTTCAAGACAATAAACCACAGGAAAATGTGGCCAAAGCTGGGAAACAATGGAGGCAGGACAGAGTATACTATAAAAAACCAGAAGATTACTGGGGGAGAAAACACACAGACAGGGATCATTGAAAGCACTCTTTTAAAGGACTGGTTTCAAGGAGTTCACGGATTTTACTGTCGGTTCTGCGGCAATGAGAAGTAAGCCTGAGTAGCAGAGAAAAGAAGCCCTACAATGGCACCCAAAAAGGCAAGGAAACTCCATGAGCTACTAAAATGTGTGTTATAGATATGAGTCAGGGCAGCCGTCCAGGGATTGTTGCAGTACTTGTGAATGTCTTGTACCACTTCATAGTACCTCTGTTGGTCAGGCACCAAATCCCTGCTCATTTTATTGAAAAGATCAGCTAGCTCTTCATCGCTGCCCAAATAGTTGAGAAGCATTCCTGTAACTCGCAGCTCTTTAACATCTTCCGCTGTATCGATGAGAGAGTCAAGGAAGCATAAGTAAGTGGTAATCTCGAATTCGTTCTTGAAATCCCGGCACGTTTCTAAGGCCACCAAGTTCAGGAACTTGGAGACCGTCGAGTCATCCACCAAGAGGCGTGGCATCATTAGTTTTCCCAGACACTTGCAGTAGAAGTAAATGGTCTCGAGGTTGATCGTCTGGGTGGGCTTCACATGAATCCCTGATTCTCTAAGCTCCTTGACGCTACGAAAGGTTTTCCTGTGCATTCGGCTGTCTCCACACGACAGAAGCATCTTTCCGATCATGCTACTCTCCCTCTTCACTTCTTTTCCTACAAGGTGCTCCGCCCGTAACCACTCCAGGAGGTGAGCATAATCTTCCGTCTCTGGGTCTTTTACTGCATTTCTGCTCTTGTGCTCACCTTGTATGTTTGTTATAAGGTTCTGAGCTATGAAGCCTTTGAGAGACTCTTTCCACTTTTGGGGATTAATGGCCGAGCCAATCAAAATCTGGAGGACTTTGTAAGGAATTTGGTTTTCTAGCAAAAACAAATCAAGTTGCGCAAAAACCAGAAGATCTGGTTTAGTATTCAACTTGTCAAACTTACCTTCCATACCGCAGCTTATGGCGCACAACACCGCACAACCGTCTATGAACAGCATCCATGCTAGCTTCTCATCGTCGTAGTCTTTAGTGTCGTCCGACATATAACACTTCCTCAAATCTTCTATCTCCGCCTTTATCTTACCGAACAGAGTATCGCCATCAGTTTTGTTCTCAAGCGCAAAGAAAGCCGCAAATTGAAGTTTCGACACCTCTGCACGCTGGAACCTGGGGTCACCATGATGCAAAGGGCCGAGAGATACCAGCCTTGGCTCAAAGCATTTCTTAAAATCCTCCTTCATGTTGAGTAGGACAGGTGGAACTCTTTGTATTAACGGTTTGGTTCTCTGAGATGATGAACCTCCTCCCTGGTTTTGGAAACCATCCATGGCCGACTTAAATTCCTGGATCTTTTTCTTGATGAATTCCGATTTCTCAGCCTCGGGAATATTGGATTCCGATTTCTCAGCCCCGGGAATATTAATTGTATGATCCTCCGGCTGGCCGTGGTTGCTCGTCATTTAGTATGTAGGGAAAATTGGAAATCTAATAGCAACAGTGCTTGCTGAAGGAACAAAGGATGAGAGGATCAATGAGAAAGGTGTGTAGGATTATCTGTTTTGTGGGCATGGCACCAACCTGCTGAATTTAAAGCTCTATAAAATAATAGCTTAATTAGGCTTCGAATTGATCCCATCCTCTTTGAACTTTATCATGGTAACAAGTTTGGTATATGCATACATATAGATTTAATATATGTATGCTTTATACTTTCTGAAACAGTGATTGTTAAGACTTCATCCATGAAACTTGGAATAAATCTTATGATTACTTTTTGTACGTCCGAATACCACTTTAAACTCCCCTTTGTTGCTTGGGATGGAAGGTAATCCCCTTTGTCGCTTGGGATGGAAGGTAACAATAATTACGTTCATTACACAAAGATTCAGTATACTGTGATTTGGATGATGTTTGATCCTATATTAGAGTTGTATCATCTGTAGGTTCCATCTTTTAATTGTGTTGAATTAAGTTCTATTATATTTCAGTTTCGTTTAGATCAATCGTGATTTAGGTATGAATTGGTGTATATATTTATACTGAGTTTAGTTGTAAATTATTGTTATGCATGTTTTTTTCCCTCTTGAAATGTTGTTATGTACTTTAGTTTACTAGAATTTCAAGTTTAGTATCTTTGTACCTTTGTCTTACCAGGGTATCACGTTTAGCTAACTAGCCTTTTGTTTTTGATTGGTTAAGAAAAGTTATGCTCTAGGAAGAATAAATTTTTATTAATGATTTGGTAAAGTAGACAAATGGTCCCCGACTATAAGGTGTATGTTGAATCCTTATACTATTAAAAGTTACAAAATGATCCCTCAATTATTGGATATTACTTTGTTGAGTCATCTGATTATTAAAAGTTATAAAATTGTCACCCAACTATTTATATTTTTCACACTTTTTCTTTTATTAAAAATTGATGGTCGTTTGAGTTAAATGTTAACATGCTTACTCGGATATGATAAAAAATATTTTAATGATGTTTATTGGAATCGTCGTTTTCAAGCACTGACTTGCCGATATAATGTTTCAAGCACTAGTTTGATGATATAATATAAACAGAGACTCGATTCACAAAATACAACTCAAACAATTAGTGGATCAAAGTTTATCATATCTCAATGAATATGTTAACGTTCAACTAAAACAACTTCAATTTTTTTGCAAAATGAAAAGTTTATAACATATATATATATAGTTAGATAAATATTTTTTAACTTTAGTCAGAGGATCATTTTTGTAACTTTCAATAGTTGAATGACTCAATAAATAATGCTCTATAGTCAGGAGACCACAAAACAATATTTTATAGTCAAGAGACCATTTATATAATTTACAATAAGGGGAAGTTTGGTTCATGAAATATAAGATTACCATTGGGAATAAGATTACCAGAATGTTACATTACTTAACATATTATTGGAAATGTTGTATTATCTTGTTTGATTTGTTTGGTAAAAATGTAAGATTATGATATTTGGTTGATAAAGAATAAGATAAGAAAAATGTATGTTTTACCAAACTGCCATTGGGATATATTTTTTTAACAAGTTAAATTATTAATAATAAAGTTCATAGAAAATAAAATTTTATATTCTCTAATATATATATATATATATATATATATATATATATATTCAATAAAATTTGTACGCAAATAAATTAATATATATTTTTTATTTTTTTTATTTCTTTAAAAATATAGAAAAATACTCATACCAATATAATTATGTATTTATTTTTAGGTATTAAGATATTGAGAGATGTAAATACTTATACCGATGTAAGTATGTGTTAATTGATAAGATATTGAGAGATATACATACTTACAACAGTGTAAGTATGTGTCAATTTCTAAGATATTGAAAGATGTACAGACTTATATCGGTGTAAGTATGCGTTAATTGTTAAGCTATCGAGAGATGTACATACTTGCACCGGTGTATGTATGTGTTAATTGCTACACTTTTTCATTTTATTCTTGCTACATGTAAGAGTTGTACAACGAAATATTATATCAAATTATCTGACAAGATTAACTGAAAACATAAAAAAATATAATATAAAAACCTTTTTATGAAAATTAATCCTAAAAAATAAATGTAATAAAATACATATAAAAATAAAACTTGAATCAAGAATATATAATAAATACTCAAAATAAAATAGAAATTTAGTATTTTTTACTTTTTATTATATGCATAATATTATTTTATAATGAGTATTAAAATAATTAGAACCACAATAAAAAAAAGAAATATATATCAATATGCACAAACAAAGGATCATTTTGAAATAACCATATTATTTAAAGAGCATTTTTGTCTTAAACAGAGGGAATTAACAAATACCTAAATATTAGGTTCGATGAAGCTCATTCGATCAACCTAATTATGACAAGAGAGAATGAATAGGCTTTTTGAGATTTAGAGAGTAAGGAGCATAAAGATAGGAAAATTTGCACAATGATTTATAGTAGTTCAACTTCCTCAATGAAGTCTTTATCCACTACCTAAGCTCCTCACTTAAGATTTTCCAAAAAATCCACTAATTTGTTCTTTCTTTGTCAAGGACAAAGAGATAACATTTACAAACTTCCTAACTTTTCAAAGTCTTAGCTAGAAGCAAAAAACCTTTACAAAGGAAAAGAATTGTAAACAAGAAAACCTCTAAAAAGGAAGGTGTTTACAAATTAAAGCTCACAAAAACACAAATATTTGTAAGAGAAAGAAAATAAAGAATGAAAAGTTTTTCTCTTGTGTTTGATTGCTTGGATAGGTGTTGGTAACCTTATCAAGTTTCCTTGGGTTGTTTTTATAAGTTGGAATGAGTTACTAGCCGTTGGAGATCAACATATCCATTACATTAAACTTTTAAGGCACAAGTGATCGATCTTTTTACCAAAGGGATCTATCATTTTTCAAATATTTCGACTGTTATACCAAGGAGATCGATCCTTTTTGGGAAGGGATCGATCCTTTTGTCAAGGGATCGTTCCCAAACTCATTGTTGTCCAAGAGATCGATCCTTTTTCAAGGGAATCGATCATTTGGTCAAAAGGATCGATCCTTTGAGCCAGAAAGCTTGGAAGCATGACTTTAAAGCACGAAAATGATCGAGTATATTTTGAAAAGGTTTGACTAAGTTTGAAAAACATTTAAAAACATGTCTTTAACTTTTATTTGGACTTTGAATTATTTTTGAAGACTTTGAATAAATTCAATTTAGTCCAACAACCATTTTGTCCTTATTTGTTATATCAAAATATAAGTTCTTCAATCTCCCCATTTATGATATAACAAAACCTTTGAAAAATAGTTTTTGACAAAAAGCTCCCCTTATTAAAATATTTAATGAAAAAGAGAATTATTAGGAAAATATTAAAGCTCCCCATTTTTCTTTCTTGAAATTAAAATTTTCAAACCTATACTTCTCTCCTTTTTTGTTATATAAAAAATAATTCAAACTTTAAGGTACAAAATAAAAATGGAGAGTAAGTAGAAATTTTAACATTAAAACCATTTGAAAAATCAAAAACTCTCCCTCAACAAATGCATTCTAAACAAAATTTTGACTTTAAAAGCTTGACACTTAAAAGACATTGAATTTCAACAAAGATGAACAAACATGATAGTTGCACATGAAATTCAATATATCCAACTCTAAAATACTTTATGCAATATCAATTGTTGTATTTAAGTACATGTGAATAAAGCTATCCAAAAATGTTATGCATTTGAAAAGTTGATATCAATCGTTAGAGAGATATCATTTGTAATAAATCACATGTATAAACATTTAAATTAAGGTCAAAAATTAAAATTTGTAAAAACAAAGCATTAAAACCAATTTTGACCGAAATTCATTATGATGAACAAAAATTTATGAAAAATCATTAAAACTAGAAAATGTTCATTCCTTGAACGTTAGAGCATTTGAATATCTTTACTTTCATCACCATTGCTCCCACACACCTACAAGAGACATTTATGTGGATTTTGGTATCCAAATTGCTTTGGATCCTTGAATTTAGTTTCAATGCCCCTTGTTCCCTTAGGAACCTATAATTGACAAATACACAATTGTTAGGTTCGATGAAGCTCGTTCGATCAATTGAAATATACCAAAAGGGGGTGAATAGGCCTTTTGAGATTTAGAGAGAAAGGAGTATAAAGATAGAAAAATTTGCACAATGGTTTATAGTGGATTTAACTTCCTCAATGAAGTCTACATCCACTACCTAAGCTCATCACTTAGGATTTTCCAACAAATCCACTAATTTGTTCTTTCTTTTTCAAAGACAAAGAGATAACCTTTACAAACTCCTAACTTTACAAAGGCTTAGCTAGAACCAAAACCCCTTTACAAAGGAAAAGAATTGTAAACAAGAAAACCTCTAAAATGGAAGGTGTTTACAAATTAAAGCTCACAAAAACATAAATATTTATAAGAGAAAGAAAAATAAATAATTAAAATCTTTTCTCTTGTGTTTGATTGCTTGGATAGGTGTTGGTAACCTTCTTCAAGTGTCCTTGGGTTGTTTTTATAAGTTAAAATGAGTTACTAATCATTTCTAGCTGTTGGAGATGTTTTAGAGCCGTTGTAGATCAACATAATCATTACCTGCAACCAGGGTTTTAAAAAACTGTCCGCGACCGCGATTTCGACCGCGATATAGCAGTTTCGCCGCTGTCCGAGTTACCCGCGACGGCCGCAATAGCACCCGCGACGGCCGCAATCACGGTAAATCCGAAATAACCGAAAACGCGACCGCGACCACGATTTGAAACCCTTCCTGCAACTTTTAAGGCACAAGGGATCAATCCTTTTACCAAAGGGATCAATCCTTTTTCAAATATTTCGATCGTTATACCAAAGAGATCGATCCATTTTTTTGGAAGGGGCGATCCTCGAGGGATCAATCCTTTTGTCAAAGGATCGATCCCAAATTCACTGTTGTCCAAGGGATCTATCCTTTGGTCAAAGGGATTGATCTTTTTGCTAAGGATCGATCCTTTGTGCTAG